TTTTTACGTTCCCAAGGGGTCGCCTTATTAATGGAGGAGCAGAAGGTCATTAAAACAAGAGAGCTAGTCTCTAAAACAGACATGGCTATGGCTTGATGCTAACATGTTTGTTAGCTGTCAGAATTCTGAGAAAAAAGTCAGAATTCTGAGAAAAAAGTCAGAATTCTGACTTTTTCCCCATATTAAACTGAAATAAAATTAAAAAATTAGTTAACTTTTTTTTTTCTCCAGTGGCCCTAATCCTCTTCCGTACTAATGAATGCGTGTGTGTGAACTGTTTTTGTTCCAAGAGTCGTTAGTTCTTCATGCTTGTGTTGACATGTTCCCTACCCTACTAAGAAAACTGGTTGTTAGATTTTAAGCAATATAGATAAAGTATCCCTCTGTAAATAAAGTTAGTTGGAAAATCCCACTTTTTCAACAGAAAGAACTGTGTAATAATTTTTTGTGTTCTGGGTAGTGATGGGCATCTTTTGACAGTTTATCTTGTTTATGATAAAAGCCTAAGATATGGTTGTAAGTGGAGTGATATAACAATATTAAGTTAAAAAAAATATTAATACCTCAGACAAATCCTTAAAACTTACACACAAAGATGTCTGCACATTCTAGAAGGGCAAGGTAAATGATGGGTTCTAGATTAATCAGTAATTAATCCATTAAAGATCTATAAAGCCCATTTTATGTTTTATTTTAATCTCATTCACTGCTCCTGTTTGGAACATTTTAAACAATCTCTACATAGAAAATGCACATATGGTGACATAAAATGCTACAGTTTGAGTCTGCTTACTAGATGGTGAAATGTAATCTCCAGAAAATGCTACGTGGAACAAAAGCCACGGTTGTCAACAGCTGTCAGTTGGAAATCCTTCCTCGTAATAAACTTTGTAATCAGATCCGTCTGTTCAGAGTTAGGGGGAAGCTTTAAAACATCTTGCTTGAGGGTTTGTCTTTGTGCTACATTAGAACCGTTTTTATTTGCATTTTAAAGTATGGATTTTGAAGAGCGTGACGGAAACTGCAAAAGTTGAATCAACTGGTTAGATTTCACAAGAAAGGTTTTATGCTCACTTAAGATGGTTTTTGACTTTTATAAAAGAAAAATGCCCTAAAGAGGAGATGGAACCACATTGGTTGAAAGAGTTCTGATGTAGCAACTTTCCAGTTGCAACACTTAAAAAACTGTAGTCCATTACTGACAGCTTACTGCTTCTACTTCCTGTTTTTTTTTTTTTTTACAGCCAAGTGCAACCTAAACATATGATAAGCGATAATTAGCGTATTTGTCTAAAGGGAAGGGCTTACCCATAGTGTTTGGTTCTAAATGAGTGATGTGCCAAATACCCCCATCATTAACCTCTTAAAACCCACCAGGTAGCCGGCAACGTTTTAAAGCGTTTACAAATAACTCGGAATGCATGGAAATTACACTGGTAAATAGTTTACCAATATAGACATTTCAGACGTTGTTTGAAAGCTTAGATTCTCCACAATTCAACCATCAAGTTTATTTTATGGACACAGCGAGCACCAAAGCACAATTAACACAGATATAGCAGCATGTCAAAATGTAAACATGACAAAGCAGCCGCAAAAAGCAAGCATGTCTTTATAACTGCTGTTCAAAAGAGACCTATTATTTTCGGGAATAACAAAACCAACTTTGAGTCTTGTTTGAACTGATACAGCTTGGGTGTTTTACTCACCCGATTCTCATGTATATATTCAGAAACTACAAGAGGTTAGCTTTCAAATAATGTATCACACATAGGGTTGTCACGATACTAATCTTTTCAACTCGATACCGATACTAAGTAAAATATTCGATACTCGATACTATTTTCGATACCACAAGGATAAAAAATAAAGACTCTAAAATTCAACAGAAATATTTTTATTACTAAAAAAATACAAGAAATAAATAAAAAAACAATAAGAATAATATTTTGAGGTTGCATGCTGTGCACAATATTAAGCAAGCTTGATAAAAAAAAACTTATAAAATTAAGTTTTCCTTCCTTGGCTATGCTTTGCAGACATAACAATGACACTAGCCAAACCGGTTAAACAAAAATAATTCTCAGCAGCTGCACCTGTTACAAAAAAAGTCTGAAACTGAAAAATGCACAGAATTATTCAATCACACAGTGTTCAGAAAGTGCATTTTCCACTATTCTGCACTTTATGTGGCTGTATCGATTCTTTTAAAAACGAGTATTGTATCAGGATACAACATTTCAGTATCGATACTTTTTTGAGTATCGATACTTTGGACAACCCTAATCAAACATGTAATTTGGGCTTAAAGTAATTTGCTTTTCCATTGGGGAATGCAAAATAGAGGAGAATTTCCCAAAATGAGGTGGATGATAAGAGGTTAGATAAAATTATTAGGATGATGATGATAGTAACAATATATTTTATTTAAAGTGCCTAGTTGGTGCTAGTAGAAGGACCCTTTTAGACTTAGACTTAGAGACTTAGACTTAGACAGAACTTTATTGATCCCTTGAGGAAATTAAGGTTACCAGCAGCTTACAGGGCAAAAAAGTAAGTAAGTTAAATTAAGTAAAAATTAAGCAACAAAAAAGTATTAAATTAAGCAAAATCTAAAAAAAATTAAAATTTTAAATTCTAAAATTTTTTACCAGTGTCAACTCAGAGCGATTCACTGTTTATAAAATCCCTTTTTCAATGTTTCTGTTAATAACCGTTGCATGGATCTGAAACGTCTGGACCGTCTATCACCAATTTGTTAGGAGGCGGTGTCACAGCTCATTTTATGATCTGCAACTGTTTAATATTTAACTGTGTATATATAAGCACTATTATAGGATGTTTTGAAACTATGTTTCATCACATTTTCTGTATTTTTCAGCTTCCTGTTGTTATGGAGCGCTGTTCTCATCATGTATCCAACTACGCTGGCTGTCATTGCCCTCACCTTCTCCAACTACGTCTTGCAGCCAGCCTTCCAGAACTGCTTGCCTCCATTCATCGCCACCAGGCTGCTCGCCACCATCTGCGTCTGTGAGTCTAAAGCCCTCTGGGATATCTGTCTCTTCTATACTTATTTTGGTTTCCAGGCGTAACTCTGTCTGCCACGTGGATTATAATTCGCACATTATGGAACCAGTGTTTGTAAGCTATGTACGTTTCATCCCTTCAAATGTTTTATTTTTTACCAACCATGAAAATTCAAAATAAGATCCATCTTTCCAGAACTGCAAATGCCATCATCCAGAGGGCTCCTTCAGTTTCTGTATTTTTTATTTTTTTTTTATCAGAAGGAAAAGATCTACTTTCAGCCATAGTTTTAAAAAGTGGACTTTTCCAAACAGAAAATCTTAGTCCTGTTTCCCAGTGCATAAATCATCTGTTTTTAAACATGTACACAAAAAGAGTTGAGTTTTTTTTTAAACAGAATATGTTTAAAGAAAGGATTGAAGACGTGTAGCAAAGGTCCAATAACCTGACTCCGCCAGATGGATTTGCTCCGCATATCCATCTGGAAACCTTCCGTAGAAGTAATTTTGGGAAGGGGCGAAAATACTGGTTAGCTGATTGGCCTATGTTGGTGATAGACGGGCCAAATAAACCAATCAGATCAACGAAGCATATGACGTACTAACAGAGCGACGACGAAAACACAACCACAAGCCAGGCTACTCTTGCCGAAACCAGTCAGGAGAAGAGCAAAAACATCTTTTCCTCTGAGAAAAGCCTCCAGATCAGTGTTTTGCTCTTCTTTCAGTGAAGAAATACTCTGTAATTCCGATAAAACTTGCTCGATAGCCACGCTAACGCTAGTTTCATCGGCTGAAGCCGCCATGTTCTTTAGACTGAACTGTCGCGCTTCTCGTTGCGTCACACCTCAACCCGCCTCAAAGCCAACGCTGATTGGACGTTCGTTTGGTGAACGGCTCCAAATTTTCTTTAACGGAGAGTCTCCAGACTGATTAGCGAGTGAAACCTTGAAAGCTCGCGAGATCAGGATGGTCTCACGAGGCTACAGAATTCATGCGCTTTTCAGAACTAGATTCTGTGTTGTATGGGGTAAACAGAAAATTGTGTCTCTGCAAGCCATCTAAGACCGAACTGTCGTGCTTCTCGTTGCGTCACACCTCAACCCGCCTCAAAGCCAACGCTGATTGGACGTTCGTTTGGTGAACGGCTCCAAATTTTCTTTAAAAGAGATCAGGATGGTCTCACATGGCTAAAGGTCCAATGGTTGGGAGTAAAATCAAGTCCCTCAGATGATCACTGGCCTTTTGTTGATGGTGTTACCCCTATGCCATATTCTGCTCCGGTATAAGATCATCTTTTTAAGTGTAAATCTAAAAAAAAAATAAAAGCACTTTTAAGGCTTAATCATAGTAAACCTTTCTGAAATCAGGAAAAAAAAAATGCTGTTTCCCAAACATAGAAGCAGTGAGCTGACTCACTGAAAAGAACTCTAAAATATATGCTCATCTGTCATAAAGATCACCACAATAATACTTATTTTATAAACCTTACATACAGCTGTTTGCTGTAATATCCAATCATGATAGAAGTTGCCCAGCGGGTGTCGGGGCCAACAGGGCGTTGATGAATGACGCCACGAAGCCGCTTAGAAACCTGTCTGCCTCAGGGCGTGTTATGCAGTTTCTAAAGTCGGGGCCTCGGTTCCAGCTTCCTTCCCTAAAACATGTGCTCCTGAACCTCACCATTGTCACCTAGCGACTAATTTATCGCTGTACGACTGTACATTTTTGAGTTTAGTTGGATAAATGTGTTTTGAATTGATCAACATTACAGGAAAAGTAGAAAACATGCAGCCATGTCTGGTTTCTACTTCTTTCTTTCTTTCTTTTTTTGTTTTTTTAACTTTGGGGGGGAATTTTGACATCATTTTCTTAGGCTCCAAATTGACCATCTGTGCTCCAGTATTTCTGTTTAGATTGACATCTAATTCCAGGTCAGTAGAGCTTGATTAACCAAGCAAAGCATTTGTTTTTCATAGACAACTTGGACATTGTCGACTTAAAGCGTCTTGCATTAAATTTCCCTGAATAATGTAAGAGTTTTGCTCTCTAAGACCCATGTAGCGGCTCATACCCTTATTTCATTGTGTCATTTTACTTAAAGTATCAGACTACAGACTCAAGTTCAGGTCAGGTGACTTTGTGAACCAGAGTAACTCCTACTGATGTCATCAGCAGCACAAGCAGTCTTTCAGATAAACATCATGCATATCCAACTCTTCTGATTAGGGCCAGAAATTCGATTTGATTTTAAATGATATCATGCAAAACTTATTGACACGGTATTCGAACGAAACAAAAATGTAAATGCCTCCTTTTCTTTTCTATTTTTTTGGACTAAGCCAATGTTGCCCCGTTGTGTCCAGTTATATTTGTTTTATGGCATTGTGATTCCATGATGGTTGTTAATGACTGTCATTTAGAAATCCCATCCAAATGTTCGGCTCTGGCCTCCAGCTTGATCAAAGCCTTTCCTTGAAATGCAAGACTAGAAATAGCTCGTGGCAAAGACGTTCTGTGAGTAGATCAGCCGGTTCGCTCTTGTCTGATCCGGACGGAGTAAAGGAGACTGGGCTGGGTAGATGATAGTGGGACGGATCTGCACGAGGGTGTGCACATGTCAGGCTGAGCTTGGCATTTTCACTGCTCTGATAGACAGACGCTATTTTAGGTAACAGTGTACTACAACTGCTGCCCACTTAGACCAGGTGTAATGTGGAGAGCACCTCTTTGTAGAGCGCTTTTAGGACTGAGTGGTTTGTGCTGCGTCTGTTTGCCAGTAGCAGTGTCAGCATACATAATGATACCAGGCTTTGTGGACCCAGCTAATGAGCGGTTATGCCCTCTATTGTGTATTGTTTGATGTTCCCATGGCTGAGTGATATGCAAAAAGGAAATGGGCTGGTTACCTTGCTCATTCATGTTGTGAAACGCTATTGGCAGGCTGTGTGTCTAGGAGGATGTCCGGGCTTCCTATTGGCTGGCTGCTTCTGTCCACATCCTCCTCTGGGGCAAAGCGTTGCTTGTCACTCCCAAAGACTATTGTTCTGTGATCAGCCTCGCATCAAGTGGTTAGAATTTGATTAATATATGGTGATATACTTGCCCTAAAAAGACCTGGTTAAATATCTTTTTTTATATTATTGTTATTAACTGTAAAGCAGAGTGTGAAAGACTGAGGTCAGCTTAACTCTTAATGAACTTAAGTCAGACCCACAAATGAAATTTCCCCCTCCTCTATCCCCAGCAGAGCAAGCTGGAAGGGACTCACAAGTCACCCTGTGGTGCGGGTAAAAAACAGACCGGTCCAGTTTGGGCTAGCTGTGTTCTTCCAAGAATAGACACTCTGAGTTGCATCATCTGAGCACTGTACACTGATGGGGTCTGCATTAAACTTGCTCTAAGAAAGGGGAGAAAAATGGTGGCCGCTCTAGGATTCCTGATGTACATGTTGAAAAAATGCCAGACTTTGTTGCCTGGTCAACCTGACAGGTTACTGTGGTTCAATATGCTGAAAAGGTTCATTCTTTTGGTGAATTAAATGTCCAAATTAGACTATAATAAAAACCTTTGTCCATTACTCATAGCTTACTGCTTCTACTTCCTGTTTTCTTTTTTTTTAAAGCCAGGTGCAACCTAAACATACGACAACATTCTTTGCCTGGTTAATTTATGTTTCCTAGAAACTGGTCAAACTCATATTTTCTTTTTGCAACATTTGAAAAGTTCACCTAAAATCCACTTAAATTAATTTGAACGGATACACGGCTAATCTGCTGCTTAAGCTCTACCTCGGCTGCAACTGTGTAGTGTTTTTGTCATATTTTTGTTTCAAAATACTTACCTTTCGTTTTAAAAAGCACAGAGGGTGCTGAGCAGATTAGAAGTGACTTTATTTGTTTACCACAGATTGTCAGGGTGTTCCACTTAGATGCCTTCCAGTTCCACCTTCTGTGTTCTTCAAATTCAGTGATGGATAAACATTCAGATAATTCAGTTTGGATGTTTAACTGATTCAAAATAAACTTAGATTAGATCACAAATAGTGCTGAACCAATTTGGCAAAAGTATATTTTTTATTTCTTTCAGTCAAGCATTTAGATGCTTCGCTGTTTCCATTGCCTTGAATGCTCTCTTGTTCAGTCTATTATTGTGGCTCTTGTCCTTTTGCATGTTAAAGTGCTTCTTCTTTTCTGTGTCATCTAAGCAACTCTCACTCCCCCTCTGCATGGTATATTACTGACTCCTAAAGGCCTGGAGTGAGAACCTCTGTCTCAGCTTTTGAAATTATATTTTGTAGAATGCGCATTAATTAAGGCTGCTCATTGGCGCAGCAAGAAGGTTCTGGGTTTGATTCCCGGCCCGGGAAACCATCAAAGTTAGGGGGCGGTTATCTAACACCTGATTGGTCACCCTGCACATTAAGGCGAAGCAAATCGATTAGAGACTCGATTCGCGTTAACCCCGCCCCCTAACTTTGATGAGTGAGTTTGACAGATTCTTTTAATGGTTTCGATGCACTGCGACACAGGACCATGAAATA